TACTTGAAAAAAACAAATTTATCAACACTATAAATGATTTAATCTAAGTTTCATGTCGTAGTATTAATCCTAATCATTGATTACGACCACCCCTTCTCGGCGTTAATTACCTTCCTGTTTGCTACGTCACGATCCTCAATCGTACCGATCCTCAAAGTGGGCTATAATGTCCCCCTCTATACTACTGATATATTAATTTACTTATTTTAAAAATATTTTTTTATAATTAATTTCTTCTCATTTTCACATAAGATTAAGTACTCATATAAAGATACAAATGAAACCAAAATAAGTTTGAGGGTTTACCAAGAGAGAACAATATTTCTAACGGATTTTTGGCTGAAATATGTGATAAGATGGAAGCTTTTAAAAGCTATCATAATTGTAGTTTGTTTTGTAAATTATATTTATTTAATGTATTTTAAAACTTTTGTTCTTTATTATCAAATTATTTGCATTTAAAATTTTCTTCAAATTTTTGATTGTGTGAAAATTGTAACTAAATTCATAGTTGTATATTACTTTTGAGAAGCAAAAGAGAGGATATTTTCATACACCTACATCCCGCCAAAAATATAGTCCCTGCTAGATTTTAAACTCAGTTTACCATTATTATTTAAAGTTGTACAATTATGCGAAAAGAAACATATGACCTTTTAACCCCTAACATTTAATTACCAATATAAGACATATTAGAAAAAAATACATTAAATGTTTAATTAAGTCAAAAACCAGACAAGAATCCTAATTTTGATGTGTTCTAATCAGCTTTTATCAGTTATTCAATTACTTATTCATTAAGTAATATTCAATTAAGTAATATTCAATTACAAATGTATTAAGTAATTATATAAGTAAACATTATGACAGGTTTCGAAATAAGTGATGACCAGCTGGTTTGAGTCCAGTTAATATTTAATTTGGGCTAGTACATCTAGTACATGTGAGTGCATCTAGCCTTTTTGGTGGTTTTTTAAGCATAACAAAATTAATTCACGGTCGAGCAGGTTACGGTAAATTGACAGAATTAACGTTGTGTGTCCAAGTTCTGTCTTGTCTTGTTTTGAAAAGTTGTATTATTAAGTATCATAATATTAACATTAGAAAACTATTATGAATATGGTTTTAGTCCGGTCATTTTCTAAATTTACTGGACCAGTAGGACAGTAAAAGTACATGTAATTAGCTATGCAGTAAGAAAATTGAGCGATATAGCCCGAGTGACTTATTTAAAAGTGTATTTTAGTCGTATTTCATGCTGTTCATAAGAGACGTTTTCTCATTAAAAATCTTTTAATTTCGTCGTCAAAACACTAAAAGCAATGATAATTTTAAAACGCATTATTCTGACACATCATTCATTAAGCTACCAATACTTGTAGCAATGAATTACAATTACAAAATTCGTACCGATGTAGACACCGGTTTCAGAACCATTTAATCTTTCTCGGGTTATTCCACCATCTTCAAGAGCCATGTGAACTGCTTCCAGTACAAAATGTTGTTGCGGATCGACGAGTTCAGCCTCTTTGTCGCTAATCCCAAAGAATTTGTTGTCCCATTCATCGAAGCTAGATGAAAAAAGAAACACTCATAACATGTCAGCTGATCATAATATGTTGTAAACAAAGATAAGACGAGTAAATAAATAAGAATCAAACGTTTTGATTATTATATACGAGATTCTCTTCATTGTTGAAATAGGGCAAAGAGAATAAATAAAAACACGTACACTTTAAGTAACTTAGACAATCAGTATTGATAGATTTATTCAGGTAAATCCATAACTTGGATCTTACTTCCTTGCTATTGTTAATCTTGTATTGTATGACTTTTTATTCCTTATACATTATTTATATATTATTTATATTTATGTTAAATCATGTCATGATATCTCTCTCTTTAATTTTTGTCTCCATTTTTAGTAAATTTTTTTTTTTTTTTTTTGCTTTCGTTTCATCTTTGTTTTTTTTTTCAATTATTGTTCCCATTATACCTGTCATTCAACAAGGGCAAACGTTCTTTATTCATATACATGTAGTAGACATATAATTTAAGGAAACGGATTAATATATAACTTGTCACAACCGAATCCTGTATGTATTATTTACTGCGTATATTTGATACCTAATTAAAATGAAAAAAAAAGTTTAAACTAAATTCATAATAAAGTGTGGTTTTATACATGTTCTTGAATTATTTGTTAAGGCAAAATATGTACTCAAGTTGACATCCAATGAATGACTGCCATACCTATCCCTTATCATGAACGATGACTGCGGTTGTCTGATTCATATGAGCATTTAGTTAAAAAAAGAAATTCCAAAAGGTAGATTAAATTCTATGCCATTTTTTTTTCAAAAAACATTTCATGGCGGGATTTCTCAATTGGGGAACAATATATTTCGTGGAAAGTTTTTAGTTATTTTTTGTTTTTTTTTTCTCTCTACTTTTTGTGTTTTTACAATACTGTTAGGCCTCAATTCAAACTTATTGAGCTGCATGCAGATTAATTTTATGTAAAGAAATGTTTTCTTATGCATGATCTCAAATGAAGAATTAATCTATTCTATTTAATTATTCGTTCTGTCATAATGTTTGTAACAAATTTGATAAAAAAATATATCAGTAAGTTCAGTAAAAAATTAAGAGCTTTCCATATCACTTGTTAATGATACACAACACAAACAAAAGTAATTGAGTGCATGGATTCATCTTTTTTGACTTATTTTAATGGAATTAAAAAAATCAAACCCTAAAATTTAAAGATATTGTAAGTTTTCTTGGTGCTAAGATATGCAGCTTTTTATCGTTTAGTATGTATTCTTATACAAAAAATTGATTAATTTTAAGATATTATTGCAGTGCAAAAGATCGCTTTGAATGCCACCAAAAATTATTATGACAAAAAAAAATCCATTTAAAAATGTATATAGCTAAAAAAAAAATTGAAGTAAACTTGTCAAAAATAAACCCAAGTCTTGTGAAACAGGGGCTCGTAACATAAAGCTTGCTAAGTTTTTGACTTAAGTAGGGTCGTAAGTACGGTTTAGGCATAATCTTAGGACCTGACTAAGTACTACTTAAGTATGTCTTAAACCGTAACATAAAACGAACTTAGCTAGGTCGTAGCTAAGTCAAACTTATGTTAAAAATATTTCATGTGAGTTAACCTACGCTTTTTGATTTTATATAGATATATTGCTAAAAATGACTCAGTTAGGGTTTTAATTAATCACATTAAAGTTGACGTCCTTACTTATCGGTTTAAGTTATGTTAGATTAGATTTCGTACTAAAATTACAATTATGTTATAAATTATTCAGAATGTTTGAAAACAAATACCGCGCGGTCAGAAATGGCGATTTGTGGTTCATTGTAAATGTTCACGACAATTGTTTTATCACCTGAGATGTTTTCAGTTTACCTTTTGTAACTCTTTTGTTTCTAAAAATGTTCACTTACCCTGTTTTTATCGCAGACAATAAAATATAATCGACCGCCGATCAACTTGAAATTGAAACTCTAAAAAGTTCAATACATTTTGAATCCCGTTATGTAGGCGATGCATGTCAAAAGCAAACTCTGCAGAAGTTTTATGATATACCCATTTGAAAGTTAATCAAGGATACAAAAAAGAATCAGGATATTTTTTCGTATGTCTCCACATATCAGCAATTCTCTCTCTCCAGTAAGCCCTGTCTAAATCCGCACTTGTCGCGTTCTACATTTATTCTACTTTACAGATACTTTTCATAATATTACTCTTACTGTCATCATCCTCTTTCTTTTTTGTTTTTAACAAAAGATTTCATCTCATATTTTCAAAGTGAACATACAGGTCGATGGTTTATTACTGTGTTCAATATATTTCTATAACCGAGTTCCCACTAATTTCAGACGTATAATAATTAGATTTTGTTTTTACATGTAGGTTGCGTTGGGTTTGATATTGGAATCAGTGACCCCCCCCCCCCCCCCCCAACGAAAAACTAACATTCTTAAATCGGCGTCAATCAAGATAATTATTTTCTTTAATGCATGTTATGAATAGAGGAATGTTTTAACATCGAAAATCAACATTAAATAATTCTATATATATGTACAAGAAATTTAAGATATACTTAAGTAACCTCTACCGGCCGCCTAAGTTTTGCTAAGATTGCCAAATCTTAGTACGCTTCTAGTTACGGTCTTAAGTTTTAGACTGTACTTAAGTCCTACTTAAGCACGGTCTTAAGTACTTAAGTAGCCTTTATGTTACGACCCCCAGGATCTTATCTTAATAAATCAAGGGATTAGAAATGTTTATACTATTGAGCAATTCCGAGAAAGAAATATTTAAGAAATCTCTTTTGAAAAGTATACCTTTTTACGAGTCCAGCCTTTCTGACGTAAGTTTTACGTGGACTGTCCGGATTGGGATCGTAAAACGCATCAACATTGAATCTGTCAGGGGGGATATCCTGGACGTGGTCTTCTCCATTTACAAGAACTCTCCAGAATTCTTTAATTGTCAGCTCCAGGAAAAATACAGCCGATTCCAACGACAGCGATGGTTGTATCTTCCTCCATTGCTTATCCTATGAAATTCAAATCTGACATGACGACCTGAATTTTAGAAAAAAGCAAAAGCATGAATCATTTTCTTATTTTTTGTCGAGCGCTAGTTCCGGTATTTATAGAGATGACCACAACAAAGATTGTTGAAAGATATGATGTCACCACTGTCTGATTGGTCATTTGAGACAAATGGAAGGGGTCTCCGCCTCCTGTTTCCATGAATTTTGCAAGAACATTTAATTTTTGGCAATATAACTCCAAAAAGGTAAAACACACAGCTAAAAATAAGTTATGTAAATTAGATAAAATTTCGAGAGATAAAAAAGTGATGCGCATGCTTTGTTACAGACAACCATCTAAACAGATAAAAAAATTTTCCTCGGCAACAAATCAATACACCTGGATTGATTCCGGAAGTTGAAGAAACGTGAATCTTTAATTTAAAGTTCTGGAATGAAAAATGGAAAAGTAAGTAATATTAAATATTCCTATTCATATTTGATTTTACAAAATTTTAATGGAATATGAAATTTCAAAAAAAAAAATGATGACAGTTTACTACTTATCTTTATTATGTTGTTGAGTAGTAAAAACGATACAATATCCAATTTCTCTGGCTTGTTGAGGTACAAATAGTAAGCCATCTTTAAAATAATGTTTGCTTGCTCTCTCCTGACTCAGAGTAAAATCACCGTGTATATCCCAACATGCGGGGTGTATACTATGTTGTGCGCGGGGTGTATGCTTCCGAAGCGAGAAAAAGGGGGTCAATGTACGTTCTTTGTCCAGTTTCTCAACTTACGGATATTTTTCGCCAGAAAGCAAATGCCTACGGAAGGAAGCATTATCTAAGGAGTATATGGATACCTGTGAATCCACTGGACACCTTCTAGTTTTTTCAAACACCTCAACACAATTCCGAGGATCGGAGCAAGATTGGCGCTACACTGTGTTTATGATCAAATATCAGAACAAAGCTTTGCTTTATCGTCATTTTTATATTATTGTTAAATGCATTTATACAATAAAAACGTTTGTACAAATAGTCTGTAAATAAAACAGTTCGTATAAAAAGAAATTGACGAAAAATCAATGTTGTGTCCGGGGTGTATGCAACATGTTGTACGCGGGGTGTATACCCCATATTTTTCTTAGGATTGTGTAGTGCAAAGTATCAATGCCATGGAAATATTATATTTACACAGGTTTAAAAGTGACAGATAGTGTTGATAAAAGACCTTAAAACTAATGCCGAACCAAAGAGTAATTTCCATAAACTTACTGAAGTAAAAAACAAATCAACTAAATTTAAAAAAGAATAAAAAAAAACTATCATATTCAAACATAAAAGGCGCTAGATGTGCTAGGAGCGATTGTTATCTGACTAAATGCTACATTGTAGATGGGGGCAATGATCTAAATCTACATGTATTCTTAAGCATTTATGACAGTGGTGTGGAATCTTTTTTGAAGGGGGGGGGGGTATCTGAAAAAAAAACCTTGACATAAGTTGACTAGCTATAAAAAAGGGGGGCTTATCGAAACTCAAACTCCTATTTGTTGGGGTTGAAGGTCCCATCTTTTTTCAGTATCAATTCTCCTTTTCTTACTTAAACATACTACATAACCATTTTTGACTATGATGCAAGGAAAAAAAAGGGTGGGGGGGGGAACTTGACTTTCATTTTCTGTAGTAAAAAGTTGTGACTGGAACAAAAAGGGGGTGATACTACGTGTCTGTCTGATACATGTATATTAATTTCCTTTCAATTTTTCGCAATATGACGACTCATTTTTTCCTTATCTGAAAAGATTTCATATTTTAAATATCACAATAAACATGTAAAGCTGGCTATAAAAATGCACATCTGTAATAAGGGACGACAATTTTCCGAGGGCATGCACAGTTGAAAAAAAAAACGGTTTTTGGTACATTTACAATTTTACGATGACGTGTAATTAATATCAATTATGTTCACCCTCCTCTAATTTATTATCATATATACACATAGTAAAGTTACCCCCCCTCCCCAAAAAAGGACCTTAGACACAAACAAACCCTCCTCGGGCCCATTCCTAGAAAGTATGTACTCAGTAAATACCAATCGGAGTTCCACGGATGATTTGTACCTGAATGGAGCGTAGCGGAGTCAGCCGAGGATTGCCGATTGAATGGAGCGTAGCGGAGTCAGTCGAGGATTGCCGATTGAGTAAAATACAATGCCTCAAAATAAAACAAATAGCTAACTGCCATATATGGGCTCATGGCGGGGGCAGAGTACACAATAAATAAATACTACATGAACGAGAACATTTTTTTGGTGTTTATGTAATTACAAAAAGCTAAATATTTTCAAACTCATTTAAAAGGTATTGAAAAAGTTAAACAGAAATTACGAGGAAATGTTAGATGTTCAAACCTATGCATGTGTGAAGCATAAGAAAGGATCTGAATCAGGTGCCTTTAAATCGAAAGAAGGGACGGATTGTTGGTCATCACATTAACAGTTAAACAAAGTATCCTGTATATTTACTTCCATGTGCATGCAAAGCCAAAAGTACGATGAACGTGTTTCAATTTTATTTCCAGTAAATCGAATTCATGAACCTGAAGTTGTGCTATTACAAAACTGATGAATAATTAAAAAAAATAAATAGAAGAGAAGTCAATTGTTAACAACTTTTTTAATGAAATTTAAGACAACGATTCTATGGAGTAAGAAGAGGGTATACACCCCGCGTACAACATGTTGCATACACCCCGGACACAACATTGATTTTTCGTCAATTTCTTTTTATACGAACTGTTTTATTTACAGACTATTTGTACAAACGTTTTTATTGTATAAATGTATTTAACAAAAATATAAAAGTGACGATAAAGCAAAGCTTTCTTCTGATATTTGATCATAAACACAGTGTAGCGCCAATCTTGCTCCGATCCCCGGAATTGTGTTCGAGGTGTTTGAAAAAACTAGAAGGTGTCCAGTGGATTCACAGGTATCCATATACTCCTTAGATAATGCTTCCTTCCGTAGGCATTTGCTTTCTGGCGAAAAATATCCGTAAGTTGAGAAACTGGACAAAGAACGTACATTGACCCCCTTTTTCTCGCTTCGGAAGCATACACCCCGCTCACAACATAGTATACACCCCGCATGTTGGGATATACACGGTGAAAATTATCGAGTCAAAAGGTAGGTTGGCAAATCTTTTTTTTTCCCCCAAAATATGTCAACATATTTGTTGAAGGAATAAGATGAATAATGAGAGTCCTGAAATGTATAAAAAAAATGTTTTGAATCGGGCCATTTTTGCTAGTCGGTCGCGAGAGGGAAACCAAACGATTTTTTAAAGATGGCCTATAGGGGTCAATCTTTTCTTTTAATATCTTTTGTTAATAAATCATCATTTAGGAAATTAAATAATCTGAGTGTAACTTTACAAATTCTAGTATTTTCAAGGTAAATCAATGGTATTGAATAAACAATAAATCTTTATTTAATGGTGATAATACTCTCAATCGTTTTTGTTTTATACTATGACATAAAAATTCAATCTCGTGATAAAAATATTATATTTCTATATTTGTTTTCATTGTGAAAAAAATGTTGAGTTTATGTCTACGTTTCCAAATGACTTTCGAGAATACTTCGGTTCCTGTCAAAGAAAATAGCGACAAGAAATGCTTCAGCAATTGCTATACAAAATATGAAGATCTTATGGAATCATTTTCTGAACGTCTTAGGAATTTTTTTAGCCATTATCCCATTACCATACTTATAATTTGCATTTTAGTAAATGGAGCTCTTATGTCTGGTTTCATATGGCTTAAATCGGAAAACGATGTTGAAGTTCTCTATACACCAGAAAGTAGTCAGTCATTCATGAATAGAGAATCTCTAAAACAGATTTACAGGGATCCTACTGGAGAAAATTTTCACCCTTATCAACTACCAGATTTTGGAAAGTATGCAGATTTAATCATCATTTCAAAGGATAGGACGAATTTGAACTTGTCCGTGTTGGCAGAAATGCACAAATTGACCAGTATGTCAAAAATTCAATATTTGCTTTTGACTCTCATGGTCAGAGGATATATTTCAAAGATTTATGTGCAATTAACCTTGGGAAGTGTGCTGTATATGGCGACATTGTCCTATCCCTCGAATTTCAGCAGGATTTTTTGTCGGGAAAAGCTTCTATTCCATTATACAACGGGACACTTCTTTCATCCATATTCGCCGATGCAAAAAATAAAAATGGTAGACTGACTTCAACTTTTAATATAAAACTGCGCTATCATCTCCGCCAAGATAACATTTTGTCATTTAACAGGGAGAGCAAATTTATGAAAAAGATCAATCCATTGAAAACAAACTTAACAGACATTTCTTATGCAATATCTGAAACACTTGGAGAAGAGTTGAAAAAGAATACAAATGGGGACATTCAATTTTTCTCCCTTACATAATTAACATTAATGTTGACATATGCTTGCATTGCTTCCTCGTCATCTTTTTTAACGTGCAACAATGTTGCAAATCGCATAATGCTCGGGTTAGCTGGTGCTCTCGCACCGATACTTTGGATAGGATCTGCACTTGGAACAGTCAGCGCCATTGAATACAGTTTTCAAGTATTGTTGGTGTGATGCCGTTTCTTGTTGTCGGTAATAATTTTCATTTCGAAAGCAACTTTTATAAAGAAGTTAATCTTCGATATAAAATCTGTTTTGATAAAATCAAAATATATGACGCAATATGTAATAATGTAATAAAAGATATTGCTTTATATTACAGACCACGTTCAATGCACCATTGTGCAATTAAACTTTTTTTTTCTCAGAACATACATATGTTCAATCAAATGAACGTATTTCTTATAGGTATTGGTATAGATGACATGTTCATATTGATGTCTGGCATTGTTTAAGCCCCAGCCCTCTGTGCTTCATCGATTGAGGAAAGGATGAGATATATGTTGAAGAAAAGTGGGATTGCCATAACAATAACCTCTATTACTGACTTACTGGCATTTGGTATTGGAGCAACATCCGTGTTTATCAGCATAAAAAAACTTTTTTATTTTTAAATGCAATTTCATTTAATCACTCAACAACCTCTTACAATCTTTTAAAATATTACTAACCATTAAAAGACTTAATTTGAAAAAATGTTTTTTTGTTTTATTTCAATTACCAATGAAAAAAAAAAAAAAGAAATTAGCTAGAATGGAGATATTCTTAGTTTATAATTGTTGGTAGATAGATAAAACACAACTAAAAAAATGAAAGGAAGATAAAGATTATATACCCCAATTTTTTATAAAGACGTGATAAATAATTACTTCAGTCTGAAGTCATTCCGCCCCAAAGGTATTAACAAACTTAATGACTTCACCAGGATGAACGTGCATAGACCCAATCCGGATCATAATTAACAAGTTATCCATTAATTCGCTTTATCAATTCTGGAACAACCCACGCATATTTATAACGTATTTTTTAAAAATTTCTTTTATCCGATTAACTTTTCCAAATCTTAATATATCCAACTATATACAATTGCCTCTCCTTATTATCATCCAAAAACGGAGAAATTTGAAAATTAATGCGCTATTACAATATAATCAATAAAGTCCA